TAGACTCAAATGGGTTCTTCCAAAGCCCACCTACCACTTTCTACACACTCTAGACTATCACTGTAGCCAGATAACACACACCAATTAGTTAAACTTTAAATTTCTCAAAGACATAAAGACCTTGATGACCTAAAAATTTCTGCTTCTAAATCAGATAAAAGTGAGGTTATTGTATACAGTGTTACAGCCCTAGCAGGGCCTCCTCCTGATGGTCTGGGAACAACACCAACACGAGGATATCAGATCATCCCCTCCGGTTGGCGCCTGTGTGGGCATCCCCCACTACCTCTTCTGCCTGAGGTGCCACCTTTCCCTTTTGTGCAGCTGACTCTCGTCAGTAATTAAGGAGATTTAAGCCCAGGGAAAGGTGAGCTCTGGGCGAGAGTGCCATTAGTGTGGTTACAGCTAGTGAGCTGAGCGGTTTGCGGTGTTTGCAGCTAGTGAGCTGTGTTTTTGTGGTTTTCAGCTAGTGAGCTGCATGTCCGTGTTTGCAGCTGGTGAGCTGCACTCTTTTTCACTTACTTTGTACTTTATTGACTAACGTTTGAGTTTTGTTTGTTTCTTTAAATGGTGATAGCGGCTTGTCTGTCTGTTTTAGTTAGTTTTAATAGAAACTTTAATAAAACTCTTTGATTTAACCATTTTGCCTCTGTCTCCTTTTCCTGACCCGGACACTTTTTGTTACTTCCCCCCATCCCCCCCATCGCCTGGACCCTTTTAGGGGAACGTAACAACAGTCCAAAAAATTGTAGAAATCCGGTATCTAGCCAGATGCTTACTCTGGATGGCATTACCATTATCTGTGAGGTATCTTGGAGTTGTTTTTGACCAAGATATTTTCCTGAATGCAAACAAATATATAGGACTACTTTCTCCCTTTTGTGCAATATCTCCAAAATTAGAAACATCCTGTCTCAGAGTGATGCTGAAAAGCTAGCTTATGCCTTTATTGCTTCTAGGCTGGACTACTGTCATTTGTTATTATTGGGATGTCCTAAAAATTCCCAGAAAAACCTTCAGTTGATTCAAAATGCTGCAGCAAGAGTACTGACGGGGATTAGACAGAGAGAGAGCATATTTCTCCTATATTGGCTTCTCTTCATTGGCTTCCTGTTAAATGTAGAATCAAATTCAAAATCCTGCTCCTCACATACAAGTTCTTGAATAATCAGGCTCCATCTTATCTTAATGACCTCGTAGTATCGTATCACCCCATTAGACCTCTTCACTCTCAGACTGCGGGCTTGTGATTCCCAGGGTATTTAAAAATAGAATAGGAGGCAGCTTTCAGGCCCCTCTTCTGTGGGACCAGCTTCCAGTTTGGATTCGGGTAACAGGTGGAAGAAGTGGCTTGGGTGAGGGAACTCTGAATAAGCGGTAGAAAATGGATGGGTGGATGTTCAATATGAGCGTCAACCACTGCAACAGAATAAGAATGAAAGGAAATAGAAAGGAAATAAAGAAAAGCCAGACATGTAACCTTTTATTTTTATCAGATGAGTTATTCAGATATTTTTTTAATCACATTTCTGCTTCTAAAAGTGTAAACTCCTCACATTTATTGACCCATTCCTCAAGCACCGCAAGTTTAGCCACACTACTGATCAGGGCACTAAAAATATAAACGTCATTAGATATTCTTTGTTCACGGTTGAAAAATCACGGTTATGATTTTTTTTCTGTCTCTAGCTGACAGTTGATGATCTGAGCACACTCTCTCGGATTCAGACGATGGCAAATCAGATGGTCAAAATCGCTGCATCTGAGGACGTAAGTACAGTTCATTGGTACTTAACAATGCATGTCACAGTTTAATTTCTACCATATGTAGGACACACATTAGCAGATGACTTAAACACTAGCTGTCCTCTACTTCTCTGTCCTGCAGGGCGGGATCGTATTGGGTGAGAAGAGCATCCGTTTGATGAGCACCAACATCGTGGCATCCAATGGAATCATACATATGATTGACGGGCTGCTGTACCCGCCCTCCATCCTTCCCATCATGCCTCACCGCTGTGATGATGTTGACAGCAAGATCACTGTGGTGAGAAAAGACACACACACACACACACACACACACACACACACACACACACACACTGAATCAGTTTAGTTCTGGGGGCGAGGGGTAATTAAAAAGGGTGTCAGTAGATTCTAAAGATGTTAGCACATGTGTTACAGCAACGCTTTCACTATCCATCACTTTTTCTATATTGGTTCTTTCTTTCACACAGTGTAACTCCTAACCTTTTGCCTTGAGTCTGGTTGACAGTTTACAGATGTAAATGAATATCAGAACTGAAATAGTTGGGTTCACTACTGCTGCATGTCATTGTTTTTTAAACTGCGATGAAGGAGAAACAACAATGGTCCTGACTTTGAAGAGCATTTTTGCCTGTTTTTTGGAGATGAAGCCATAATTGAAAAGATTCTCTCAATGACATTTTTGTCTGTTTATAATACTTTACATTAAAATTTTAATGGCAGGTCATCTCCTGTAGAAATGGAAATATCATAGAGCTGGGCGATATGACCTCAAACCAAAATCACAATTAACATTTGACCTTAATTTTGGTTAAAGAATAATCATGATTACACACTTGAATAAAGGAAGGCACACACATATACAATGAGGGAAAAAGTTATTCGATCCTCTGCTGAATTTGTAAGTTTGATCAAGTTCAAAGAAATGAACAGTCTCAGTCTGGAGAGAGACAGTATATCAACCAAAAGACATACAAAATACATAAAATAAAACCTATAAATAGATTTTTGTGTCACTTACTGGAGTAAGTATTTGATCCCCAAACAAAACATGACTTAGTGCTTGGTGGAGAAACCTTTGCAGTAAGACGTTTATTGTAGTTAATCACCAGGTTTGCACACCTCTCAGGAGAGTTTTTTATTATGTTGATTACAGGTTCTAAATGTGGGCTTTTATTCATTTCCTATTAATTTCCCAGCTCTAATCATAGCCTTTCTTTCAGCAGGTTTGCCGTTTTCAGTAGAGCAGGATTAACTCTTTTAGTGCATGTTTATGTGTTTGAATCAATGGATTAAAAAAAACAACAGGCAACAACAAAAAAATCCAATGATGGCACGTATTACCACCTCCCTCAAATATTAAAGTTTAATTTTTGTGTGTTTTCAGGGTCCTTGTGTTCACTGCAGTTACCTCTCTGCGACCCAGTGTCCAGAAGGCAGCACCGAGCTGGTAAAATGCATTCTGTTCTCTTCTACTTTATATATTGTTATTACTCTACATCAAAGATAACCCTAGCTTTCAGGGGTCTGAAAAGTAAAGCGGATATCTATCTGCCTTAAACCTGCATTCTTCCTAGTCTCCTGCAGAGGGTGACTCATGCAGGGGTGACTCCTCTTGTTAAAAGAATGAAGTCTGGTTGTATAAAGTCTAAGGTGGTGGTTCTCAGTCTTTTTGTGGTGTGTCTCACGTACTGTAGTCATTGGTTATTTAATCATCTACAGTGAAAAGTGTCATATTGACACCTCTTGTTCATCATATCTGGCTTGAGGTGTCAAAAACAGCGGCGCTTTACACTACATTCAGTCATCCACCCATTCACACACACATTCACACACTGGCAATGGCAAGCTACTTTGTAGCCACAGCTGCCCTGGGGCGCACTGACAGAGGCAAGGCTGCCGGCGCCAGCGGGCCCTCTGACCACCACCAGTAGGCAAACATGGGGTTAGTATCTTGCCCAAGGATATTTGGCATGAGGCAGGAGGAGGCTGCCAGGAGGCAGCCTGGGATCGAACCACTGCCCTTCTGATTAGTGGCTGACCTGCTCTGCCACCTGAGCTACAGCCACTTTAAGTATGACTCAAGTGCTATTAAACAGAGCAAGGGATTTTTAACGCAGCTTTTTCCAAACATCCAAGTTTTATTTTAGATGCTTACATTATTTTACTTCACACAAGGAAAAAAATTATTTCACAAAAACTACCAGGTTGAAAGTTATTACCCCCCTCCAATGCTAGTAGTCAGTTTTGTATCCGTTTTTGCTCAATAACAGTCTGCAGTTGCTAGTTTCATTCTTCTTTGGTGAATCGCTCAAGCTCCTCTTGATTTGATGGTCTTCTGGCATAGAGCTTCAGTTACCCCCCACAGATTTCAGTGGATTCAAGTCAAGGCTTTAACCCTTTAAAGCCTATCGTTTTGCGTAACTATGTTTAAATCCCTGTAGAACCGGAACCACGTAAGCTAGCGCAATAATCTTTATTTTTGCATATGAAACCGGAGTTGTACTTACATCTTATGCCATCAGCTTGTCCACACATAGCTTTGCAAAAGCTGCATAAAAAGCGCTTGCAGGAACAAAAACACAATATTCCAGAAATATACTTTGCCGATCTGATCAGCTGTTCATAACACTTCCCACATTGAAATCGATGTCAGCGCGAACGATGGCATGTCCGCCATTACCTGCTCGAAACCGAAAGTGACGTCATTTTCGCGGAAAATATAGTTTTTTACTTGTAGCCCTTAGAAGCTGGTGTTTTTATAAGTCATGTTTGACTTTATGCTTTTCTGAATAGTTTCTGTGATGCTTAGAACTCAAATTGCACTGCCTAAAATAGTTTATTTTGATGCACATGCTGTTTTCTTTGCAAATTTGCATCATAAGATTGTTTTTTGTTTTTTCTGCAGTATATAAAAATTGCTGTATCTCAAAAATAAAACTATGAAGACACTCAAAATAAATCCTATTGTTGGAAACTATTTTTTGCAACTTTTTTGTATTTAAAGTTTTGAGTGATAAACCTCTTAAATTTCTCCAAGTAGAAATATATGTATAAAAAACCAAAAATGATTTTCTATTTTTTTTGTAGTTTATTGCACTTTTTTTTCAATTTATGTTGTTACTATGGACTTAATGCATACATATTATTAAAATTTGGGCTATAACAGTTGTATTGATGTATAGTAACTTGAAATGCTCCCTAAAATGGCACTACAACATGTAAAAATATAAAGTAAGCTCTAGCGGCCTTGGTTCTATGGTAGGTCTTAAAGGGTTAATGCTTGTCAATAACATTCACTGTGGTCATCTGGAGGTAAGCGACGATCCAGACCCAGTTTTGCTCGTGACTGCTTGAGATTTCACATATCCTTCTTTCTTCATGGTTTCTTCCACCTTGACAAGATTCCCAGTTCAAGACACTCTGAAGTGTCCCCCCAGCATAACACTCCCACCACTGTGTTTCACTGTGGGGATGGTGTTCTTTGTTTTGTACGCCTGTTCCTTCTTTCTCCAAACATAAGCAGCATCTCTGTGGCCAAAGAGTCCTAATTTTATCTCATCTGATCAAAGGACGCACTTTCAGCATGTATGCTCTTTCTCTAGGTTGTCCTTAGCATACTTCAGGCTGGTTTGAAGGTGTCTTTCCTGCAGGAGTGGAGTTTTTCTTAGTCTGCAACTTCACAGTCCATTCCTGTGCAGGGTCCAAGTGATCATCTTTTTTGAGACTACACTTCCTGACTTGACTAAGTCATTAATTTGTGTCTTGGCAGTTGTTCTGAATGTTAGGTTTATATTGTTGGATTGTCATTTATGCTTAGAAATGTATATATGCTTAGAGTTATATAATCAATTGCATATTGATAGGATGTCTGATCCTTAGCAATCTGCTAAGACTCTGTGTGCCTTCCAGAGTGTTCTGGCATACACACACATCCTAAGGTCACGAGAGAGGTCGTACTTTCTCTAACTGATTTATGGTATAGGAGGACACCTACTCTGTATCTGTTTTAGTATAAGAGCCTTTGTTTAGGTGGACTGCTGGACTCCTGGCACCAGCAGGTCTGGGGAGTCTTCACAGGGTCACATTTTGAACACACACACACACACACACACACACACACACACACACACACACACACACACACACGTATACCCACACATACACACAGGCAGTACTCTTTGTTCACATGCATGCCTATGTAAGACGTCATATGTTAATGAATCTATACATATTCATGTAACTATGGCATTATTTTTGTGCCACTATTCAGAGCACACATAAAAAAACTTTGAGCACACGTAAAAAAAACGTGCAGGTGCAAGTGTTGCATTTTGAGGAGAAATTTATTTTGAGCGAAGAAAAGCTACATTTAAGTGAACAAAATTCATTGCTGTTGTAACAGCAGTCTGGTGAGGAAGGAGCGGCTAGCAGGTCCTGCGGGCATGTGGTGTGGAGGTTAGCCGGATAACTCGAAGCCAGTCAGTTAAATGAAACAACAGACCTTTATTCCTTGTCAGCAACATAAGACCATACAAGCCAGGTCTCCACGGCTCTACACTGTCCGTACATACATGTGCAGGGATTGGTAGTCGCTGCCGCCAGGCCGTTGCAATGGTGAGGTCTGTCTTGAGAGCAGAACACGAGCAGCATGTAATGCCTGCCACGCTATACTCACACACCCCCTAGGAGACTCCCCCCCTAGTGGTGCTATAAAACAATAAGGGTTGTTACATCGCGTGCAAAAAATGGAGTTTGAAATATTACTCTTTCTGGGTCACAAAATAAACTTTTAAGATATTTTCATGCGAGAATGGTGCTGTGTAAACTTCTAATATCTGCTCGATTCATCAAGACATCACATATTTGCATAAGTGCTCTAACGTTTTCGGAGATGCCTGTTACCCACCAGCTGACCGGGTGGTCACTCGGGTTAAACATAATATATAAGGCTGAACTGACAAAAACCAGGTATTATAGGAAAAACCATAAAGCCTTTGAACTAAAACAAACGCTGTTGTGACAGTGATGTACACTGTCTTGTTGGTATATATGCATGATTTGTATCACCTTAATGTTTCCCTCTCACCACATAACCAAACCGATATCATGACCAGCAGCTTTTACAGCTGTGGCTCCAGCAAACATCAGCTGATACTAGAAAGTAATATTAAATAAATTATAACAACAGCTTATCAAGCTTGAACGTGCTGCTGTTGTTTAGCGCAACATCCGCTGGTTTCCTCTTTCTGGCGCAAAGTGGGCGATAAACAAACAAGGGAGACGATCAACTGATCATTGATCAGTTTCATGATTGAAGTAGAAACGGGAGAGGGAGGGAGAGAGAGAATGAGAGAAGAAGAGGCAGCTGTGCAGCAACGTAAAGACAGAATAACTCCAGCTTTGTGTCTTTTTTTCATTCTAGCTGAAGTACGGGATGAATCGCGTTCCTTTTCCCCTCAATACGGATGTATTGTAATTGGTCCAGCCCAGAGTTGATCATGACCAATTGGCTAATCCACCACCTTTCATTGTTTATACCATTACAAAAACAAACAAACAAACATAAAAGTGAAAAATCATCATTGCCCCACGGGGCAAATACCTGGTACGCCCAATGGCCAGTCCAGCTACGCGGTCAGCTGGTGGGTAACGGGCATCTCCGAAAACGTTAGAGCACTTATGCAAATATGTGATGTCTTGATAAATCAAGCAGATATTTGAAGTTTACACAGCACCATTCTTGCATGAAAATATCTTAAAAATTTATTTTGTAACCCAGAAAGAGTAATATTTCAAACTCCGCCACTCTGTGTTGGGGCTCAAGAGTTGGGAGTTCGTCTTGTAATCGGAAGGTTGCCGGTTTGGAGCTGATTGGAGACCAAAACAGCCAATCAGATTTTTTTGCATCCAAGTCTGTGATTGGCTGGTTTTGTGGCACGGTGAACAGAAAGAGTTGAACGCGCACGGGCAGAAATATTGAGAGCGCAAGCAACACATTGCGAGCGAGCCCAAATGCAAAAACTGAGCGAGAGGGGCTGCTTTTGTGTGTGTATATGGATAATAGCAAACACTAAAATACATTTTTGCTCGCAGCAATAAATTTTGTTCACTCAAATTTAGCTTTTCTTCGCTCAAAATAAATTCCTCCTCAAAATGCAACACTTGCACCTGCAATTTTTGTTTTTACGTGCGCTCCAATTTTTGCGCGCGCTCAGAATAGTGGCACAAAAATAACGCCATATGTAACCACAATAAAGAGCAGTGCTACGGGGGAGCTAACTGAGAGTGACTGGGGTTTGAGCGGAACGAACGGCGCTCGTTAGAGTTCTCTCCCTCGTGCACGAGCAACACAAAGAGCTCTGGAGAAAACTTTGACAAAAACTTTAAAATTTCATATTGGGATTAATAATTTTATCCTCCGCAATAATTACTTTGTCTGGTTGCTTTTCTGCCTTGCAGTTTGCAGAGCTTATTGATTCGCTCTTCTGCTTTTGTGTTCACCTGATTCTGCCTAAAAAAATCAACCTGGTTTCAAGTGTTTGAAGTTCACAGAAACCATCAGTCGTGCCATGATTTGATGTTGAGAAACCCCTCTTTGCTTAGTTCTGATGCCATGCTTTTCACAGGGACACAATTTCGAATGCTCTGGGAATCTTTCCCAGCATCACTTTGGTCATTTTGCCAGCCAGTGCGGGTTTTTTTTATGTGAACTAGTAGCAAAAAATCTATGCTTCTGTCTATTCAGGGTAGTCATCTGAGCGACTGCGAGTACGTCACATCTCCTCTCAGGCCATCGCTCAGCAAAGGCTGCGCCAAATACTGCAACACCACCAAACAGGTGAGAGAGGAACTGGTGCTTTATTTTTAACTTGATGCAGCTGAGTTATTATAGGCAATCATTTTTACATTTGCTTTTGTTTTATGTAATTTGTGATTTTTGTTTTGTCCGATCAGTTTAATTTTGCTTAGTTTCCTGTGTTTTATTAGTTTTTCATTTTAATTATGTGTGATATTTATCAGGATGTTCACAGTTGCTGAGCTGGATTGGAAGTGTTTTACTGACACACCTGATTGTCGTCTTTTGTCACTTCCAATTCCCCAGTGGTGGATTAGTCCTTATTGAAACATATATTTAATACATTAGAAAACATTTATTGGTTTTGTTCTGGTGTGTGTGTGTGTGTGTGTGTGTGTGTGTGTGTGTGTGTTTCACAGGTAGCAAAGTGTTGTAAAGGTTTCTATGGTCCGGACTGTAAGCCCTGCATCGGAGGATTTCAGCATCCATGCTACGACAAAGGAACTGTAAGGAGGAACATTCAGGCAGCCTCGTCCCTCGGCTGATGTGTTTTAATTTTTAATTTTTTGCTTTGATTGCACACAGTGCTCTGATGGTATCCATGGTAATGGCTCATGTAGCTGTCAGGCAGGCTGGACGGGTATTGCCTGCCACATCTGCTCAGATCCAAACAAACATGGTGTGAACTGTGATGAAGGTAACGCCTCCTCTTAGCTGACAGCTTTTCACTATGTTCAATGAAATGTCCATTTCCAATTTGATGTATTTACATACAGAAATTATGTTTTTTAAATTTCGTTTTAGTTTTTTCTTTTAAGTTCAGTTTTGGTTCTGTTGGTTTTCAGAGCGACATTGCTTGTTTCATTTTGAGTTCATTGTTTATTTAATGTTTATTTTTTCTGTAGTTCTTGTAAGTTTCTATATTGATTCTGGGTTTTTACCCCTCAGCCGTAAAAGGCTTATGGGGCATTATTGTCACCCTGCTGGGCGGGTGGATAGCATGGTCATGCACGTTTGGGAATGTGAGTTATTGTAAATGCTGTAAGTCGAGAACAAGGCAATGTAGGATTTTGAAATTTATACTGTAGGTCTGTCTACTAAAAATCTCAGATGTGTTCAAATTGCAGTGACCTCGAGTTCATGGGACCTTGAGGTCAAATTTTCTGAAAATCTTGTGATTCTCAATGAGGCAATGAAGGATTGTAAAATTTATACCATAGGTGTGTCTAATAGGAGGCTGAGGGATAACACTGGCAGCAGCCATTATTTTTATTTCCTAAAATCAGCATGAATTATGTATTATCCTGAGAATAAAATGGCCTTTGGTATTCTGAATTTTTTTATTGGTATTCAGAAAAGGTACTGCAATATCTTTCTTTTCTGAATACTAAGGGCCATTGAGTTGCAGACATGGCATCCTGTCTCAATAAATAAATTAAGCCTCCTGATGCTTGTTGAGTTGATAAATTTGAAGAAAGTAACAAAAGAACGAAGTATGAGCTCTACACAAGAGTGACTGAGCTCCTCAGCCTGTATATAAGCCCACAGACACCCCATGAAGGAAGCTCATTTCCTCTGCCTCTATCCTCAGTCCTATTCTTTTGGTGAGGTTAGGAATGTAGAACAACCAGTAAACTGGCCTTCATGCTGAGCCCTTTGTTCACCACAGCAGACCAGTACTAGGTCCACATCACTGCACCAATCCTGACATGAATGGCCTTCTTAGAATTTTATTGTCGATCCATCCAACAGTGGTTGAGGCCCTTTACCCAGAACCACATAAATCACACTAATTTATGGACCTGCTAGAAGAAATGAGGCCAAAAATATGATTAATCTTTGGAAATCATATTTACAAATGCTTCATTTTTACCCTTATATCAACATCCAGTGTCCTGTTTTCTGAGGCTTAACTGGATTAATATTATTATAATAACTATTTAGTGTGAAAAACCTCTGTATATGGAAATAAAGTACTGTACAGAGGGTAGTGGAGGTGCATTTTGTTTAAATATTCAAACTAACTGACTGAAAATTAAATAATGTGTATGTGCTTGTCTTTAGATTGCCGCTGTGTTCACGGAACGTGCGATAACCGACCAGGCAGCGCTGGTGTGTGTCGGAGAGGTTCTTGTTTGGAGGGATTCTCCGGGGACCTGTGTGACAAGACGGCCATGCCGTGCAACGCAGATGGACTGCTGCAGCATTGTCACATCCACGCATACTGTAATCAGACAGGACTGGCTATTACGTAAGAAAATACTAATCATAAAACCATTACTATAACTTGATGCTGAGAGATCGTTTTGTGTTGAGTCACTTTTTAGGTGTTGTAAATTTTTAGACAGCAAAAACTTTCTTGTTCTTGCCGTGGCTCCTGAAGTCTGTTTTTGGACATTTAATTAGCATTCTGGAGCCATCCCCACTCGCTTACTCCTCAATGTCTGAAACAAACTGCACAAAACTCTCTGTAATCGGATGTATCCTCAGTTCTTCTTTGGACTACGTTTTCGGATTAAGGTACTTGTGATAATCAAGGATTAAAGACTTTGTACAATACCTGCAATTTTTAAGTTTCACTACTGGCCTGAAAAGGAGGATGCTCGATCAGATCTGGGGGTTTTTGTGAAGTAGGCCAAGTTTTCATCAGAAATGCTATTCTAGCTTGCTTGGCACTTGCGTTAGCATGACTGATCTTCTCGTGACAGATGGCATACTGTTGGCAGATGAAGCTATCAGACAGATAGACATTTGTGACAGTTTATTCATTGATACAGCTTTGTTGTGTTTGGCCCAGCATGAGAAAATTATCCTTTTTTTTACCTCAGATCTCTCCATCCATCCATCTATCCACCAGCCCACCCTGTTGAGTCCTTTGTATCCACCTGCTCCCAGGACACCAAGTGTTCTTGTGCCAGCCAACAGACATAAACTCTTCCACATGTCCTGCATGTGGAGGAGTTATGGCTCTACTCTGAGCGCCCCCTGAATTACTTAGGGCCTCATCCTATCTCTAAGTGGAGGCTTATTTTTCTCAAAAATGAATGAATGAAAAAATGAAGTTTGAACAACTGCACACCCTGGGTTTTGTGATGAGGAAACGTATAGCATTTCTTGTTGTTTTTTTATGTATATATAAAAGCTAAGTTTTACTTTGAGTTTTATAATTAAAAAAAAACAAAATCTAATGGGCGTTTAATCAAAAGCCATAATCAAGCCAAAATGTCTCTTCATCCATCATCTTATGATCAAATAACTGCCAAAGGTTTAAATGCTGGCGTGGTTAAAATGTTCTGGTTGTCCTGTACTGTTGTTTAAATAGATTTTTAGTAATTCCTTCAGCGATGTTCTGTGAAGAAATAAACAACAGGGATTTGTCACCTCTGTTGCATCACCTGTTGAGTTTGTTTAACTGTGTGTGTGTGTGTGTGTGTGTGTGTGTGTGTCTTACATAAGGTGTGTATGTAAGGATGGATATGAGGGTGACGGTCACTCCTGTACTGCCATCAACCCCTGTCTGAAGAGTAACCGAGGAGACTGCGACACCAATGTAAGATTATTTCTTTGTGTGTGTGTGCATGTGTGTCTTCAAAGCAGTGATAGGATTTAGGACAGAACCCCCCCCGGAGTCTAGACGCTGATGGTGGTGAAGGAAGAAGCCTGAGGCTGTGAAACGGGGCTCTGACTGAGGTGTCTGTGGGGTGGGGATTGGGAGGAGGAGGGTTGAACGAATGAGGGTCTGTAGTACGACGGAGATTTGACACAAAAATGGAAGCTGATTGGCTCAAAGAATGTGGGCAAGAAGATAATTGGACTAGAGTAATGATGTCAATATTGAGATTGACAGTGTGGGAAATCTTTAGTGATGTAAAGAACAGAAAAGCAGCCGAACACCCAGGAAAGCAGACAGATGAGTGACTATAGAGCTTTCAAATTGAGTTTCATTTCAAAAAAGCACACAAACCGATTTACTAATGTTTGCAACATTTCAACTTACTGCTTGTATATTTAATGAAGAAGAAAGAAAGAAGAAGAAAAAAGCATGTCTTATATTTCTTGATCGATACTGAAATGAACTGACTGAGCCTGTGTTTAAAAAATAGCTATCAACTAACTAACAACAACTATGAAAGCTTTTTGGGGATTATGCTCACATACTGTTTTGTCACATTTGTTTTTTGTAAATCTGGCTTTATGTGTTGTTGTTCTGCTATATTTATTTAATGTGTGTGATTTTATTTAACTTTTCACCTTCAGTAATCATAAAGATAAGCTCATTCAGTGCAGTGTTCTTGTCTTTGTGACACATCCTCTTTCTCTGCAGGCTGAGTGTGTGTATGCGGGTCCAGGTAATGCTTCATGTGTGTGTGCTGAGGGCTGGACGGGTGATGGCAGAGTGTGTGTAGAGATCAACAACTGTCTGCTGGAGAGTCGAGGAAGCTGCAGCACCAACGCGGACTGTAAACACATCGGACCCGGACAGGTCGGTGCTTAAAATCTGTGATAGGATAAACTTTGAACTATGTTCATTGTGAATTTTCAGCTCCATATTTTGATTCTTGTACTCTGGTATAGAAGCTCAGTATAAATCCTGGGCCAAAACTAACCAGAGATCACTTGTATATATGCTGACCACATTATGTAAAAGTTGCAAATATGAGAATTCACCATTGTATATGCAAAAATAACTGGTTATTAACCTGCTGTCAGGCTGTTCTGTTTCTCATCTGACTGTTTCTCCATCTGCAGAGTGACTGTGTTTGTAAAACTGGATACATGGGCAATGGAAAGATGTGTGTCCTCATCAACCCCTGCCTAAAAAAGAACGGAGGCTGCCATGAGCTGGTATACACACACACACACACACACACACACACACACACACACA